CCCCCACAAACACACACACACACCAAAAAAAAAAAAAAGAGGGAAAAGAAACCATCACTTTTGGGTTAAATAAATAAAGGATTAACTAGTACTCCCTCCATTTCAATTTATGTGAACCTATTTAACTAGGCACGGAGTTTAAGAAAAAAAGAGAAAACTTTTGAACTTGTGGTGTAAAATGAGGCACATATATTTTGCGTGGCTATAAATCATTGCATAAAGGTAAATTGTTTCCAAATATGGAAAGAGGTCATTCTCTTTGGCACGGACTAAAAAGGTAATAGGTTCACATAACTTGAAACGGAGGGAGTATTGAATATTGGAAACAGAATTAGAGGGTAACCTTGGGCAGGAATAAAGAAGAAACGAATAGGTTTACATATCAAGTTATAAACAACATAAAGCCTCTCTATTATACATATCAGTTATGTCTAGAACTGCAAAGATATTGTGCCTGTTCAATGTAATAGCAGCAGTAATAATAACTTGCTGGAATTTGAATCTGCTAAAGAACATGACTTATCCTGGCACTATAAGGATTGTTGTTGCAGTTGTGGTTATTGTTGTAGCTGTTGTATCAGAGCTTTGATGGCAAATTACTCGCTACAGTAAAGTCTCGAAGAAGAAATTTCCTTGCCTCCCAAGTTTTTGTCTAATGCTAAATCTGCCTGAGGTGTTCTTGTTGAGTGTTGCTCATAAATAGGGGTATCTCGTATCTTTTAGATTATCAAGTAATCAATACATCTCTTCCCTTCTCTTATTTTCTCACACTTACTAACACCCGTAGGATTTTAGGGCCACATATGGGATTGAATGTCACATAAAACAGAAAATAACAGAAACAATTCATCAGATATATACTTATCCTATGTAATTGAGGCAATTTTCTCGCTAATATATCAAATAGTAGGCAAAACGTAACATCTAAAAGTAGGAATATTATAAAAGCTCTTTAATTCTATAAAGCAAACATATAGAAAGTTTCATCTACAGTGCCAAATGTGGTTACCTTTACATCCTGCAAATCAACAGACAAAAATTGGCTCACGCGATCCACGAGCACATGTTCTACCTGCAAAAGTTATAGCTTGTCTTACTTTTTCAATCAAGTATATCTGAACAAATATTGACAAATCTTTCACATAAAATGAAGCGATATAATCAGACAAGCTTAGCTCATCCAATTACAGGAGGTCCCAAGAACTTCATTCTGCAGTGTCAGAGAGAGCTCATAATAGCTTGTTCTAAAATTGCAAGTCCACACTATCTACTTATGATTCTCCACTTTCATGGCATTTAAACGAAACAAAATTAATGGCGATCTCAGAAATATCAAATTTGGATTAGTTTAAATAGTTATACTTGTAATTATAGAAAACTCAATTGTGTATTAGGTTGGTGTAGAAAACGCCACTTCCACGGCAACTACAGAAAGATTTGGTGTTTGATGAGAATGGTTGTTCTTCCACTCAGGATGATGTTTCTATGCGCGTGGATCTGAAGAGAACAACTTCAGAGCTTTACTGACAAATATTGACAAATCTTTCACATAAATGGAGTGACATAATCAGACAAGCTTAGCTCATCCAATTATAGGAGGTCCCAAGAACTTCATTCAGTGCCAGAGAAAGCTCATAATAGCTTGTTCTAAAATTGCAAGTCCAAGCTATCTACTTATGATTCTCCATTTCCACGGCATTTAAACGGGAAAAAAACTATTGGCGATCTCAGAAATATCAAATTTGGATTAGTTTAAAAAGTTATACTTGTACTTATAGAAAACTCAATTGTGTATTAGGTTGGTGTAGAAAACTCCACTCCCACGGCAACTACAGAAAGAATTGGTGTTTGATGAGAATGGTTCTTGTTCCACTCAAGGTGATGTTTCTATGCGCGTGGACCTGAAGAGAACAACTTCAGAACTTAACTGACATTTTTCTTTTTTCTCTTTTTGATAACTGATGGCATAATACTTAAAGAACAGAAGCAAGTAGGTGTTAAATGTATACAAACAAGAAAATGTATCACTTCCCTTTTTCCTATGTACCAAGCCAGTGACATCCATCAAAACATATGTAGCATTCAGGTTTTGAATTACACCAAAGTTAATAGAGCATGGAATTGGACTTCAGCCAGTGTAGAGCCTTAAATACCATAATCTCACTTGAACTTCAGCAAGTGCAGAGTCTCAATCTTCCTTCAGAGCACTTATGATTTATCTTTCTCCGCATTCCCTACCAAATTCATGCTGGACTCCATATCTTCTGATGTATTTATGAGCATTCCTTCCTCTCCAACAGAATAGAGTGTCTTTTTAGTGTGTTCCGCCGCTCAGTGGAATGCATATAAAAAGAGATTATAGGATATTCCAACTCTCTTCAACAGTTGGGACATGTTTTACACAAAATAACATGCCCTTTTCCAGATTATTCTGAGGGAGACAAGCTTGTGATCCAACCAAAACTTTTAAGGGCTGCTCTGATCTTCTAGAGCATTTGGCAAGACCACTGAGTTGAGCTGTTCCCAAGATTCAACAATGTGTTATAGCAGGCCTTCACTGTGAGTCTGTGAGGATTCCCCTTTTATCACAGTTCATCAAAGAACCTTCTCTTTTTTTCAAGTTTCCCTATGATAATAGCCAGTCATTCTCCCAATCCTAATGATTCCTCACGAATCTGAAGTCCCAACCATTAGTAGATCTGCATCCAGCTACGGTTGCTTCAGGATATGATGCAAAGTTGTATAAATTTGGTATCCCTCAAGGGTTTATGTCTCAGCCATGCATCATATTAGAATCTTATCTTTATACCATCACCCACCCTGAATTGTATTTTGAGATGGAACCCATCCCACTGATAACTTATTACCTCCATGATCCCAATCCATGAGTTGTTGACACAGGTTTAGTTCACCAAAATTGTTTGATTAACTATTATAGGTGTATTCAAGTAAAACGGAACAGAGCACACACAAAGCAACAGGCTTTGATAGAAGAGTACAATGTTTCTAACTAAAGGCTCAAGAGTAAATTACAGCGAAAATTACAAAAGAAACAGCAATGGTGCATTCCAATTTGTTACCAAATAGAGAACTACTCTACTATACGATGCATCCACTTACTTGAGATCGGATAAGTTCCTTGTATGTAGCAAGCTCACGCAACGCAGTGATGAACTTCGTAATGATTGGACCTGACATATGGATGCATTTAAGAGTGAAAATAATCTTAACGTTTGATTCGAGTTAACAATGAAGCTTCACAATGTGATCATGGAGAAAACATTATCAATTACATTACGTAATCGTACTTTGGAAATACAAATGGAGTAACAACAGACGAAGTGTCCACGTCAACTCCATCAAGTGACACCCAGAACTACAGCATGAAATTTCACATATGAGCATGCATAGTATGAAAAATAGAACTACAAACACTTTTTCTTTAATCAAGACTTCACGGAATTCTGATACATTAACAATTGGAGTTAGAACTTAGGAAGACCAACAAGCAACAGGGAATTGATTTTCTTTTCTTTTTTTCTAATAACAGAGAAATCTCTGAGAGCCAATGGCACATGATTCAAAACTTGGTGGATAATGGTAAATTGATTATAACTTCCAACAATATAATGAACCATCACTAAATGGTGGTTTCGCTTCAAATTATGTTATATTCCAGCAATAACACGCAACACAATCTTTGGAGCCTGTTAGATCCAACATACTTTTTTTCTTCATTTTGTTAATAGCTGTACATACTTTTTTTCTTCATTTTGTTAATAGCTGTAATTTTTAATGACCAAAAAAAAAACTAAATGCCCATCACATACCAACTAGCCTACAAAACTACAAGCCATCTGAAACCCATCCAATCATCTATTTGAGCTGGCAAGTCTTCCATCCCACACAGCACCCAGGGAAAGAAACCAAAGAGTTGCCTTCTCAACAACATCCATGTAATATTATAGCACTAGGTGACCACTTTCAGGCTTTAAGTACTCTGACATCAATAGTGACTCAGGAGCTCCCTAACAGAATGAGAGATGGCCCAGAAAGCAATTAAGAATGCAGTGAATCCCTTTAGCTAAAATGCCCCCTTCAGGAAGAAGAAAATTTGGTTTTCACATAGTTTTAGGACATGCAAGACCAGCTTATATAACTGGTATTTCTCCATATAGAGATCAGGCTTCCTTGCAGTGCTAATATACAGATAAGAAGTCAGCTGTTTGGGGCCACAGAATTCAAGAGCCTTGGCAGGGATATATTTTTGCATTCACGTGAAGTCTCAACCAAACTTAACGCGAACCTCAGGGTGATCATTTATATGAGAATTCTGAAATCCAGCAACATTGAAGAGAAAAAAAAACACCTTCTTCAAGAAAATAAACCGCATGCACAATGCAGTAATTGACAGTTGCAAATAAAATTAGCAAAAATGAGTAACTTTGTAATAGGATGAATCAGAAAAATTAACTAACCTCCAAGGGACACACTGAGAGGGTCGTCTAGACCACCACCAAATGCCTCTAATGATTCGGCAAAGATGATATCCCCATTGTGCGCTTCTCCAAGAACTTCCCTGAGATAACAAAGTATCAATAATAGCCTCTACCTAAACCAATAAATGCTAATGAATAAATCAAAACTTTCAGACAGAACAAGAGAATAAAAATTTCGCAGAGCAACAAACTCGGCAACAGCATATTTACACATACATTTCTATTCTCTGTACCTTGTGTGCATCTGTGAGAGAGAGAAAGAGAGAGACAGAGAGAGAGAGAGATGACTGTTCAAAAACCTCTGGTTTCTAGAGAACCACTGCCTACGCTTGATGACTACAGTTACTTGGTACCTGGTGAGAGGTAGCATGTATCTGTTGCCGGTGGGAGCTAGCAGGTACGTGTACTATTGGTTAGACTAACATGTTTTTGTGATGGTGAGAATTAGTAAGTGCGCCGTGAAATAGTAGAGGTGCGAGCAAGCTTGGCCCAGCTACCACCATCATTAATTTAAAAAACTAAAAACTAAAAAAGAGAACTCCCAATTTGCCAAAACAAATTATTTAGTACTCCTTGAATAAAACTGACCTAATAGATTATAATAGAATGTACATGATTATATAGCCAACTCTAATAGTGTGGATTGAAATGTAGTTCATTGGACTAAAAATGTCAGCTTTACAATCATTTCAAGTTATTACAGTAAAAAAAGTTATTGCACTAACTGAATTCTGAAATGATAAAACTGGGTACTCACATGTACTTCTTACAGCCTTTGTATAGCTTTTGACATCGATCTCTAAGCTCATCCGTATTCTGTTCAACAGACCGCACCTAAAAAACAACAAATTTTGGAAAAAATAAATAAATTTTACAAGAAAAAAAAAAGGAGAGAAGGGGATTAAAAGCAAAATCTAACTTGTTTCTGGAACATAGGAGAATCTTCCAGCTTAATAAACGCAGCCATTGACATATTTCTCTTTCAAAAAACTCCAACTTGTTTAGAATCAGAAACGCGAATGGATCTATCCGATTTTGATATTACTGTACTTTCCCAAATGAAGAAGCTTTTTAGGATCAGATCTTAATTCATAGTGGCAGATACGTCATTTTAAGGTTGTTTTTTGGTAGGTTGTCAAATGCTATATGGAGCCACTTTTGTATAACTATAATATTCATTCTTGAGAGTGGAATTATGTGTATTTGAGCTGGTTAGGACCCTATTTTATTTCAAGGATTGTTAAAAAAAAAATAGTAAATCATCAATAAGAATAATCCAAAATTTTACTGTTAACTTTATACATTCACCTTTTGTTTTTTATTACAACAACCATTCTAAATTAGTTGGACTCTGCTATATAAATTCTCATTAATTCATTATTCATATTACTTAATTTAAGTTGAGATTATGTATACAGACTCTAAATCTTGAATTCATCTAAAGACAGTCAAAACATCTAAATTCATTATGTTAAAATTTTCATCGGTGCAATTTGACCAGCTTTAACATGTTACTAAAGGCGAAACAAGGATTTTAACTTTTTGAACTCTATATTTTAGAGCAACAATCAAGTGCTAATAACTTGGTTCTAAATTTAATTTTTTTTTAATGAATTTCTTAATTCAAATACATTGTTAAAGCAAAAACTCATGGGTTCGGCCGAACCCATATTCGGGCTTCTAGCTCCGCCCACGGCATGTTACGCACTATCTCTTTCAAGTAAGTAGTACATACTTAGTAGACAGTTATTAATAGTAAATAGTTTTATATTGATACAATTTTGTAAATATTTTTATACCAATGTTAGATAAAACTTAATTCTTTTTAAAATTTTATCAAACAGCTTTTTAAAAAAAACTGTTAACTGTTGCATTTAATATGGAAGCTGTAAAAGAAGTGGAAATAAGGGAAGTGAAGTGCTACAATTTATTAGATTTAATGTAGGTGTAGAGGAAACTGTATAATGTGATTTGGTGATATCTCTCTCTCACAAAACACTTGATAGTGTTTTCTTGCTCAATTTTCTCCACTTCCTTTGTGGTGTTCTTGACTAGTAAGTAGAAAACACCAACACATTCAGAACAACTGGAAAACTACTTGGCAATAAGAAGCATGCAAAATATTAAGTGACAGTTGATTCTTATTTCTTTGGATAAATAACTCAATTTCCAATCAAGTGTATCATTCAACCAAAGCTAATATAAGAATAATTTTAAAAAATATGTATATAAAATACTTAATTTGACGAAAAAAAACATAGGTTCAAGTGCACCATGGGCTATAAATTAAGCCAATGTAACATTTTTCATTTTCACATAGTTATTAGTTAATATAAGGTAGGAAATCAATTGAATAGTAATAGTCAAAAATATGAATAGAATTTGTAGCATCTGACTCCGTAACTACTCTTTTAATCATCTCTCGGATCCACCACCGGAGGCATAACCAACCATTGCATAGTAAACAAGTCTAAAGACTTGTCCCACCCAAGATTTTATATATATATATCGTCACATGGCTTGAATAGAAATGATTCTCTTTTATTTGTCGTTTTGTAATTATTTTCTCCACTCGCTGATTATTTTCAAAGTTTGTTGCAAGTCTCTTTGAGCTTTGTTGCAAGTCTTCTTCAGCTATTTTCAGTCTTCTTTTTGAAATGTCTCTGTATTACTTACTTTATGTCATTTCCCCTTTTGGTAGTTGTATTATTGTACTCTTGTATCAGATAGCAATTCTTGTATTTTTATGTGTCAAGATTGTATAGTGCTACTGAATCAAAGCTATCTCTGAATCATCGTTTGGGTCTTGAGCATCTTGATAATAGTTTTCGTCTTCGTAATTACCATCTTCTCCTGATCTTTGTGACATTTCTGGACTAGGACTTGGACTGTTTCTATATATATATATACATACGAGAAATCTTGAGGACTTTGTCACACGGTTTGAAACTCGATTGAATAATTAGTCTGCATTTTTATCTCTCTCTTATCACAGAACCAAAAGCCATAAGGGCAGATTATCACTTTCTTCTGCAGCATGGAACTATTTTATCAGCCATTTCATTAGGAGGGATAATATTGAATGAAAGCATGAAGTTGGATACAAACAAGATATTTCCTAAAAAAGAGTTGGAACCTCAATTACAATTACATCCTCACAAAACAAGCTGGCAACAAACTTTTGACTCAGGAATGGATCTTAAACTAGTGAATGTCAATGAAGTGGTATAAAGCAAATCTCCTAGATACTAACAACTAAACCTAGAAACAAGAAAAATAAAAAGCCCTTGGTCTTTACAAGAACTGAATCAACAAATCCATTATAACTCATATTCATTGATGCTTCAAAGATTCAAAAGAATCAAGCCACGTTATTCAAACCCTTCAAAAAGTATACAACTCATATGCTCAAATGTTCGTCTCTCGGCAAGCTCTGGACAGTATCTGACCATCTTCCTGGCGAATGGTCACTGCTATTAGAAGACCCTTGAGCTTCTGCTCTAGCATCCCGAATCATCCTTAAAACATCCTTCATCGTGGGACGATTCTCAGCTACAAGTGAAACACAAGCCATGGCTATGTTTAAAAGAGCACCAAGTTTCTCTTCTGAGGCTTCATTACTAGATGCAGGTTCATCACCCGATTCAGTTTCTTCTTCTCGAACAGATCTCACCCATTTCGGTATGTCAGATCCATGTTCTTGAACAAGATCTTGGAAAGGGGTCTTTCCGGTGAGGAGCTCCAACAGGAGGACGCCAAAGCTATAGACATCAGCCTGATGGGTTACTGGCCTTCGAATGTCACGACATTCAGGAGCTCTGTAAAAGAGGGAAGAAGCACCGGATTCCTCTGGAGAATCTGGATTCCTAAATGGCATGAGGCCATAATCGGTGAGGCACGATTCAAAGTCGGCCCCCAAGAGTACATTTGATGATTTCAAGTTTCCATGAGTCAGACCAGGGTTCTGATGGATATGAAGCAATCCAGTAGCCACATCCTCTGCAATTTTGAGACAGGAGGTCCAGTGAAGTGGCTTTGAACCACTATTAGCCCTTGACCCTGCAAAAGTAATCACATAGTAACAATATAATATAGTTATCATCTGGAGCATTATTTGATTAACAAAACAAATTGGTTGTCGGAAAATACAAGAAAACAAGAAAATGATTAAAAAAGCCTCGGGCTAATTTTAGATGCGTTCTCTTCAAAAATACAATTGCCTCCCCCATTCCTAGCGATTAATAATTCTAAAACTCTAGAATTCGAAACATGACTATAAAAACACGATGTACTGTAGAACTTCAAATGTGGTCTTACACGACTGGTAAGAAGATTAAACCACACCAGAGGAAACACACTATTTGAGGTGGTGCGTCCATATACAATTGCTTGAGGCAAGAAGCATCCTCCACGTTCTTTTTGTTCCAACAAACTTAGGTATGCCTTTAGCCCTGTTCCTCAACAGTGCCTGAAATGGTCTAATGACCCCAAAGAGCAACTCACATTCAATGGCTTCACTGCATCCTTGGAACTTTATTTGAAGAGACTAGCATCTAAACTACATGATTTTTTATTATTCCCCAACTTGCTATTCCTACTCTAGAGTACTACAACTAGTGAATTGAGTATTCAGTATGTCAATTGACAATAGTTAATAAGATGAATAACTTTATTGTTCTTACTCGCTGGTGTAGTGTATTCTAGTTTTCCTATTGGAAAAAAATTAAGTATCACATCGGACACACTCTAGAATAGAACGGAATTGCAACTTCAGTTTACTTGGAACAGATCAACTTATAGGACATTTAGTTTTCGAGAAAAACTTAGGACAATTCAAACTATAATCACACACACACATACATAGACATATATACAGACTCCCTCTGTTTTATGTTATATGGCGATGCTTGAACTGGATGAAGTTTAAGAAAGAAAGAAAGACTTTGGCACATACAAGAAGTACCCTGGAACTTGTAGCACTAAACATGCAATGACTTTTATATGGCTATAAGAGGATATCATTGAGGGCAAAATGAGAGTTTAAAGTAAACGAGTTTCCATATAAAGAAATATGTCATTCTTTTGGAACGAACTAAAAAGGAAAGAGTATCATATAAATGACAAAGGAAGTATGTATGTGTGTGTGTGTGTGTGTGTACACCAAACACTGTTGGAGCTACCCTGGGTGAAAGGGGTTCAATTGAATCCCCTTCGCTGGAAAATTTCATTGTGCGGGATAGAAACAAAAAATTGCATGTATATAAACCATTGAATCCCCTCGAGATAGATTGATATCTTAGGTGTGACATTTTTACATTTATTTAAATCCCCTTACTCAAATACCTAGCTTCGATACTGACCATACAAGTACATAAACACATAAATGTATAAAGAGCAAAAGAGATGTATATGTGTATCTGATGTATATATGTGTATCTATTTTGTGTGTATATACATAAGGAGAAACAATTTGAACTTTATTATTTCTATTCTGGAGAAACAATTTCCTTTTCCAGGTCTCCTTGAAAGTTCAATGGTCAATTTAGTTATTAGCAGCATAGTAAACAAGTTGCAAAATCAGCAGAAGGCAAAGAAACTCTTACATAAGCAAATTCGAGCAATATGCAGGGTCATTATAGTTGTATTGTTCAGAACTCAAAAAAACCAAGCAGAGCTGCTAATCCACCTTATAGGCAAGTTATTGCTGAAAACAATGATTTTGTCTTTCTAGTTTCAATGTAGCATGTGTTATCTCCATATGTGTGGACAACTATTTTGGCACTATGTTAGTATCTATAAATGGCAAGGTCGAAAAATGCGAGTGAAGTATTGACATCATTCTTTTGTTTCCTAATTCAAAATCTCTTCTCAGAATGACATCTTCTTCACAATCTATTTAAATGAAAAATCTTCCTTTTCTGTTTTCCCCCTAATGTAAGAATCAAAAGGCAGATCACTATACACCACTATTGTTCTTTGTCCTCTTCTTTCATAAATAAAATTCCATCTCTAGCTCTAAGGTTAGAAGAGGTTAGTTATTACTTATTTGAACTTCTTTTCTTTTCTTATTTGCCCAGTAATTTAACAAAATAAAATATTTCTATAATCCTCATATCAGTATACCAAAGTAAGTTTGGGACTTACTTTGTGATTTACATATTTGTCCTCACTTGGGCAGTTAACCTAATTCCTAAAAGCTTTATCTCCATGCTTTCCTCTTTTTTTGTCTCATTTTCTTTGTTGGCTCCTACACTCTTCCCTTGTTGTCCCTCTCTTCCCCACCATTACCAAACAAAATCCAACCAGAAAGTGATACACTACCAAACCAAATTATATGGGAGAAAATTCAAAATTAACAAAAAGACAGAAAACTGAAGAAGATCAAAGAAACATATTAAAAAGCAAAACAATTCAAGGAAAATCTGTAAAGTTCACAAAGATGAACACAAAAAATAGGCCACTTAAGTCCTCTAATGTTCCATAAAACAGTCAAGAGGTCACAATTCGAACTCAAAAAAAGAAAAGGCCATGTCAAATAAGGAACCGACTTTTGGAGATTGAGCTATAACCAAGTGATTTCACGGACAAAAAAATTGTCCCCACGTGTATTTGCACCAAACTAAACTAGTTTAATCTAAAGAGGAGCACTAGGCATTAATTAACCATTGCAATACCTAATTTAGTAATAAACACATGCATGCATCTATTGATTCGATGCATATACAAGACGTAAATAAGTTATTTGCTTAATTAATTCCACGTTATACCACTTAAATGCAAGTTTATCCCGCTCCCGCCAAATCTATCCCCGTTATTTCTTCCCTTCACTATTCATGAGCTTAACTATCCCTGTTTTTACTTCGTTTCACTCTTCACGAGCTCAATTATCCTCGTTTTTTTCTTCCTTTCCCTACTCATGAGTCATGAGCTCAACTATGCTCGCGTTTTCTTGCTTCTACTATTCACGAACTCAACTATGCTCATTTTTTCTTACTTTTACTATTCACAAGCTCAATAACCCCTGTTTTTTCTTCCTTTCAATACTCATGAGCTTAACTATTCCCGTTGTTTTCTTTCACTATTCATGAGCTCACTCAACAACATAAATAATATGATAATATAAATGAATAAGTAACAAACATAATATGTACCATGAATGAGGGAGAAGAGGCTGCCATTAGGGAAATAATCATAGACAAGCAAACGTTCTTCCTTAGCTTGAAAATATGCTCGGAGTGGGACCAAGTTAGGATGTCTTAGCCTACCAATAATCTCCACGTGTCGCCGGAATTCCTCTAACCTAGGAAACCTCGAATCCCTCAGCCGCTTCACCGTCACAATGTAACCAGATTCCATCACTGCTTTGTATGTACTTCCCATTATACCCCTCCCTAATGTCTCAGCTGAAGCCTTCAACAAATCCTCTAAGCTGTAATTCATTTGTTGATCCCCTGGTCCGCAGAACACCAATGCCCCTAATCCTTCACTTCCTTGTTGATCCCATGAAAATGCCCCTTCTTTTCCTCCAAAATTACCACCACTGCCACCGCCGCCACTTGTCCCCTCTTCATCCCCGCCGGTGGCAGCGGCTTCAATTCCTTTGCTTTTTCCTTCATTATTTTTTCTTCTTCTTTTTCTCACACATGCTATGAAAATCGCCGTCAAAATGCAGAGCAGCAAAACTCCGGCAAGCGCCGAAACGATGATAATGACAAGCTTTTTGCTTCTTTTATGGTGAGATTCATTGTAAGGACTAATAGGATACGACGGGCTAATTGAAGGACCGGAGATTGTACATTTAGGGTTTAATTGAGCTCCGCACAAATTGACATTTCCGGCGAAAGACGATTCGTTGAACCGAGAAAGCGCCGGAGTATTAGGGATTCGGCCGGAGAGTTGATTGTTTGACACATTGAAGAATCTCAAACTCGGTTGATTCAAAGGCGGGATTTCGCCGGTGAAGTGATTGTCCTGTAAATACAGCACGTAAAGCCGGGATAATTTCGTAAACGACGGCGGAATTTCGCCTGACAGATCGTTGCCGGCGAGTACCACGACTTTGATGCGGTGGAGGACAGTGATGGACGCCGGAAACTCACCGGAGAAGTTGTTGTTATTGAGGAAGAGGGATTTGAGGTTGAAAAGTCCGGCGAGGTTAGGAATTTGGCCGGAAATGGAGTTCTGTTTGAAGGATAAAACTCGTAATTGATCCAATTGATTGAGGGCATTTTCGTCCAATCTGCCACTCAAATTTAGATTTTCAACTACAAGCTTTGCAACTCTTTTTCCATTCATGCATTCTTTTACACCTTGCCATTGACATAAATCAGTCCCTTTTTTCCAATCAAGAATGTTTTTTGGGTCTACTGTGGCTTTCAATGCTAGTAAAGCTTCAGCATCTCCTGATTTTACAAGTGGGAAAAATATGGAAAATATTGAAAAGATTAAAAAGAACATTTTGTGACATGAATTGTACCTTAAGTACAAAAGTGGGTTCTTGATTCCCATTGAAATTGATAACATTTCCATTGTTGAATCAATGAACACTGAATTGTTCTTGTTCAACTCTACAGCCAAAAGGGGTTCTTGATTTTCACTAAAGTTGGCATTTTCATTGATGAATGAGCTCTAAAATGCTCAACTGCAGAGTTAAAATGGATTCTTGATTTGGATTTTCATGAATGAGCACTAAAAAGCTCAAATGCAGAGTAAAAATGGAGTCTTGATTTGGATTTTCATGAATGAGCACTAAAAAGCTCAAATGCAGAGTAAAAATGGAGTCTTGATTTGGATTTCCATTGATGAATGAACACTGAAATGCTCAATTGAAGAGTAAAAATGGAGTCTTGATTTGGATTTCTACTTATGAATTAGCACTAAAATGTTGAACTGCAAGTTAAAAATGGAGTCTTGATTTGGATTTCTACTTATGAATTAGCACTAAAATGTTGAACTGCAAGTTAAAAATGGAGTCTTGATTTGGATTTCTACTGATGAATGAAACACTAAAAAGTTGAACAGCAGATTAAAAATGGAGTCTTGATTTGGGTTTTGGTATGGTGGAGGAAAAAAGGTGGAAGTGTTTTTATTTGGTATTGAGGAGGACAAAAAAATCAGATAGAATCTTGAAAACTGAAAGATCCAAAAGACAATTAGCTTTCTATCTAAAGAGTTTTAACAAGATCACTTTCAACACCAGAATCTTCAGATCTACCACTTTAAAAGAATGTAATGAGGAAGTGTAACAGAAGGCGCCAATTAGTGTCATTATCATCAATGACAATAGCTTTGACTCACAAGCTATAAATCAAACTTGACAACACCTCCAAAACAGAAGCAAACAAAATCCACAACATATTTACTCTTTGTTCACTGTGCTAGTACTTTCACTTTTAATGGAACCTAAAAAAAACTCAGTACCATAAACAAAGAGAAATGGGATTAATAGTACAAAGAATTTCAAGATTTGGGGGGCTTCGTTTCTTGAATTTTTTTGGCTTAAACTTCACGTGACAGGGTTCAGAGTTTGCAGAGACACCCAAAAATGCTTCTCATTTTACTGGAACAATGATTTGGGTGTGTAATAAAATACATTTCTTTGCTGAATTTTAAAAGGAAAAACACATTGGACTACTAAAAACATTTATTTGAATTTTGAGGGGTGTTTTTGAAGCTTGAAAGGCATTGGATCCAATTCAAGTAATCTTATTTCTATAGTATTTTTCTTGCAATTTGGTCTGCAACCATGTTATGTTACATTGATATCAGTCTTTATAGGATAGAGGGACGAGAAAACTGTAGAAAGAAAGGGACAGAAAAAAAAAAAGAGAGAAGAGGACAGGTGGGTTTTTTGGCTGAGATGAAAATGGGGTCTCAGGAAATAGGTGAAGAAATTGAAGGCGATAGTAGATTGTAATTAATGTATTCATGTTTGGTGACACGGGCAGTTTATTTGTCACAAACTTTACTCCGTTTCAGACATTGACTTACTAGTTACTAGTAACGTTTACTAGACAGTGATGCTGTCAAATATATTTTCATTTTTCTTGGAGGAAATAGTTTGGTTTCTTGGAATTAACATTTAGTAGGCGTTTGGACATAAAAATTATATATTTTAAAAAGAAATAGTATTTTGAGTTAAGTCGAAAAAAAGATATTTGAAATTTAAAAATGTATTACAGTTTTGTGAGCGAGGAAAAAAAATTTTCCAAAATTTCTGAAAAAGTGATTTTTGATAAACTTATCTTCGAAATTTTTTCAAGAACTTATAAAATTTCATGAACAAATACATTTTTGATTTATCTATTTATTTGAAAAAAGAGAAGTTTTTTTAATAAACGCGCCTTAGTAATGTTGACGGTTTTACTTTAAGTTTACTATTCAGTAAGAAGAAAAAAATTAGACTTGTTAAAGATCTATATAATAATAGAAGATATAGAGAACTTTTAGTTACAAAAAAAATAAATTTTTAAATGTTTGATTAAGACGATTTTAAATGAAATGACATGAATATCAAATAATCATATAGGAATAGTATACTCCACTTTTGTTGCCTGTCGATAATAAAAGTTCTACCTATACGACCAAAATCGTCAATTACCACTAGTGTCCAACTGCCACCGCTGCTAGTGTTTCGTCAAGCAAATAATTTTTAAAATATCATATAATTAATATTTTCTATAATATTTATATGATTTACATATAAATAACTTGCATACATTCTGACCTTCAGAACAAGAAACAATCTTAATTATTTAATATTTATAGAGATAACATCTTAATAATTAGAGGTGTATTGTGAGTCAAACATCTTAATATTAAAATGATATTCGATATTTACATCATTTCAAAGTTATAACAATATTTGCACTACAATTAATCTTTTCGTTATTCAAAATCAACTAGTTCCACTAATCTTCATTCACGCTGGTTAGATTTAGATCAACAAGGGACGGGTCAGATGTAGCATACAATTATCGGGTTCAACTGAATCAAGTATTTTCGATGCGGAGCATAAATTTATAATAAATAGTAAATATAAATGCATAACTTTATAATATAATGGGTTCAATGCTAAAAAAATATAAAATTGAACCCATAGAATTAAAATCAAAAATCCGCGGACTCTACTAATTAGGGGGAAAGTATTACCTATCAAATATGCAGGTGAGTGACCTAACATTGAAGATTTTGTTTCTTTGGTGTGAAAAATAAAAAGGAACGAATTATAAAAGTCATAACAAAATTCATTTAATGTATAACGTCAAGGAGCATGGTATAAACCGTATGATAATAATAATAAATTCAATCCCATTTACTTTATAAGACAAAACAAATGCCCCCAACATAATAATGACCATGCAAAACCAGCTATCTCATTTAATAAATATTTATACTCTTTAAATTTTACAAGGTAGAGTAAATGATAAGTTACGTGGTCCAAGTTTTTGCAGTCTCTTTTCATTCATTCTATAGTTATTATAATGTTGCAACAAAAAGCCTTTTTCTGAAAGGAGAAAAGCTGTAAAGGCATCAATGGTGAAACTGTCGTGGCATTAATTGAATTGAAAACTTTACGTAAAAGTTAGTATCGAGTAGTAATTAATGAGTAATGAATAATGACTAAGGTAAAGAGTATTAAGGACGTAATATGGACTAATAATCTGACATTTTATATTAGGTTTAATTGGAAGACAAGAAAAACAAAAGTAAGAAAACAAAATTAGTTGATAGGTATAATTTTATTAACCTTCCTTGAGATTTATCTTTGATTGTGCAAGGCATCTTTACAGTTTCTTGTATTTTTTTCCCTTCTTACACTAGATCCTTCTAAATTTTTTATTTGAGGGTTGTCCTGATATTTTTTTATTTTAAAAATAATCATTTGTCACTGTCTCATCAACAAGCGTGGATTAATAGAGAACTCTATCCTTTTGTACTTGTTAATTTGTATTACATTCTTCGGATATAGTTTTTCTTTGATCACGGATCGACAAGTGATCCGCCCTTTCTCCCTCTTTCGTCATAAGGCATGGCCTGGATTACGTGCTAGTTGTCCATTAAAGGAGAAAATTCTCTCTATAAAAAAAATAATATTTTCAAAGCTTAAATCGGTTACCTCTAACTAAGAGTTGAAGGATTTCATCCGTCTCACCAAATATATCGGGGGTATCTTGACAATTCTTTATGAATAAACATAAGCATGAAATAAATGTTGACTGGTATTATGGACTTTTGTCCCTTCTAGTATAGGTCATTTGACATTTAAATTGAAAAGTGTGAATTCTTTTTGTTCTAATTTTCTCGGAAACTAAAAAAGCACCGAAAAAAAAAATTCTTTTCAAATCAAACACCAAGAGGAGTGTTGTAGTTTTTATAAAAATTGAAACATTGGTTGACTAGAAAACTTACTAATAACAACGATATGCTTAGTGTAATTTTCCAAGTGGGGTATGGGATCACACCGAAAGACTAAAAAATGTTTTGAAAAAGTTTCAAGATTTTCAACATTTGGACAATATTTGATTGAAATTGAAAAAAAAAATTGGAACATTTGGAGCCTTCTCTACATCTGGCCCCTTAGTGGGCCGTGAGACCATGAATAAGTACTATCTTCATCTGTATGGCCCAACACATCTTTTAAGCTTTCAAGACTGTGTGGGTCGGAATAGCGCTAACTAATGGACTAATTTCTTTGGTTACGTTGATCTTACATAAATAGTTGGTTAGATTTACTATTTATTTTTTTAGCAGTATACATAGATTATACACACCTACACACATATTATACATGAGTTAGCTTTACAATATAGAAGAATTAACCCAAATATCCCAACCTCTTAAACTAAAAATAGTCGTCGGATGTTTAATACATGTATAATATGCGCATAAATGTGTATAATCTATGTATATTTACTAAAAAAAATAAACAGCAACTCCAACCGGCTATTCATGTAAGGGTCTTTTTTATATATATATATAATCGTGTAACCCCCATTTAATGCCTTACTGGGCCTACATTTATGAGCTCATGAATGAGTACGATCTTCATTTCAATGGCCCAAAACAAGCTTTTAAGCTTTCAAGCTTTCAAGCCCACATTGGGCCTCAATTGCGCTAACTAATAGGCTAATTTCTTTGATCACTTTCGATTATGGAAAAGGGATCTTTACACAAATAGTCGGTCGGGTTCATTATTTATTTTTTCTAATCGGTATACATAGATTATAGATAGTTATTCACATATTATATAGGGTTAGTTATTCACGCCGAAATGACCTACGGGCCTCTAAATCGACATCCGGACATGCTCCTATGTCCAAAATCACCATACGAAACTGTTGGAACTGTTAAAGCTCCATTCCGGAGTCGTCTACATAAAAGTCAAACTACTGTTAGTCCTTTCAACTCAAAGCTCCAACTTAGGGACTATATGTCCCATTCCATTCCGAAACTCGCCCGAAACCAAAACCAAAAATCGTCGTCAAGTCAAATATCCATAATACAACATAGAGGAAGCAATAATTAGGGGATCAGGGCTAAAATACTCAAAACAACCGGCCGGATCATTACATCTTCCCCCTCTTAAGACAAACGTTCGCACTCGAACTAGTACAGAGACATACCCGAAGTAGTGAAAAGATGAGGATAACGGCTACACATATCATGCTCGGTCTCCCAGGTCACCCCCTTGACTGGTTGACCCCTCCACTGAACCTTCACTGAAGCAATGTTCTTCAACCTCAACTTTTGGACCTGACTGTCCAAAATGACCACCGGCTCCTTCACATAAGACAAATCCTTGTCCAACTGGACTGAGCTAAAATCTAACACATGAGACGGATCACCGTGATACTTTCGGAGAATAGAAACATGGAATACTGGACGAGTTGCAGCTAGGCTAGATGGCAGTGCAAGCTTGTAGGCCATCTCTCCAATTCTCTCAATAATTATAAAAGGCGTGATATACCTAGGGGTTAATTTGCCCTTCTTTCTGAACCTCATAACACCCTTCGTGGGCGAAACCCATAGCAAGATCCTAAACCATGAATGCAACGTCGCGAACCTTCTGATCCGCATAACTCTTATGTCTAGATTGGGCTGTGCGAACCCGATCTTGAATCAATTTAAGCTTTTCCGAAGCATCTTGAACCAAGTCTGTACCCAATAGCCTAGCCTTACCCGGATCAAACCAACCTACCAGACACCGACACCGTCTCCCATACAAGGCTTTATATGGAGTCATCTGAATGATCGACTGATAACTGTTATTGTAGGCAAATTCCGCAGGTGCCAATAACTGATCCCAAGAACCCCCAAACTCCATCACACATGCACAAAGCATATTCTCCAATATCTGAATAGTGCGCTCGGACTGCCCGTCCGTCTGAGGGTGAAATATTGTACTCAACTCAACCCGTGTGTCTAACTCATGGTGTACGACCCTCCAGAATCGTGATATAAACTGCGTACCCCGGTTAGAGATTATGGATACCGGCACGCCATGAAGTCGGACAATCTCGCTAATATAAACCTGAGCCAGCTACTCTAAAGAATAAGTAGCTACCACTAGAATGAAATGAGTCGGCTTTGTCAACCTATCCACAACTACACATACTACATCGAACATCCTCTGAGTTCGTAGGAGCCCAACAACAAAATCCACAGTAACTCGCTCCTATTTCCACTCTGGAATCTCTAGCCTCTAAAGTAATCCACATGGCCGCTGATGCTCATACTTCACCTGCTGACAGTTTAGATAGCGAGCTACATACTCCACTATGTCCTTCTTCATTCTCATCTACCAATAGTGTTGCCTCAAGTCCTGATATATCTTGGCGGCACCAGGATGAATGGAG